TGATTATCATACTTTTTTTGGTAAACGTACGGTAGGTGTATTACAGGAAAAAAATACTCGACAGTTTAATATAAAAGTAATAATTAGGAAATATAGTTAGTTAAAGTAATAACGAATAACTTGTAGATTTCTATGCAACATAATTGTACGAAAGTTGAATGCTTCTAATCTTTAAACTTGAATGCAAATTTCTAGAATTCTTAACGTAACAGTATTTTCGTAAGAGGAGTAATGGATACCATTTCATTGAAAATAATTTTTATTCGACTGAAAATATAAACCTAGGTCTTAGAGTAATTATAAATTTTTACCACAAATCTTACGTTACATTAATGAAAAACGCCAAACAGTATAAAAGCTACGGGTCGTGTATAAAAACTACTACGTGAATTCATGCTAAATGAAACGAAAAGTGATGATCGTTTTTTTTTTAGCGCGCTTTAGCTACGACATACACTGGAATGGAAATAAAGGACACGCTATCCAGAATAATAAGGGTATTGGAAAACTGCAATTTTTTTTAAAAAAAAACACAAGAGTCAAAGCAATAATGTTTTTAAGAGTTTTATTTTATAATCCCATAAGTCTAAAGTAGTCTTTAAGATGTGTGTACGTGAATGGTCTTGCACAATACAATGGGAATAAATTATAATACTTTGGCTACGCTTGCGGGGTCAAAACCGTGTCTTTTTTTTTAATCATTTGTTTGAGCGAACTTCTGGGATACTTTTTTGAGTCAGCGGTCTCCCCCATTATTTAAAAAAAAAAAAAAAACACAGAAAGAAAAGAAAGAGCCATCTTTCTCCCTCAACGATTGGTAACGGTAAAAAATAGAAGTTATTTAATAAGACCTATCTCCGCCGGGAATGATGAATTATTGAAATACTTGACAACGAGTTGTCTTAAATATGCCACGGAGCAGAAGTAGCGGAATGCATACAATAGGGTACAATATTAATAGAAACTTTCGTACAGTCTGAATCCTCGATCAACGGATTCCGTCCTGTATCGAAAACGATGCTGCGAGAAATAATTTACGCAATGTTTTCTTTTTTTTTTTTAGCTCAAACTCGCGCGATTATAAATTGGCAAATACAGCGTTATACGCGAGAAAAACCAAAACACATAATTACTTTTATCGATCATAGAGAGTGTGGAAACATCGCGATGACATAAAAAACATGTTTTTCGTGAGGGTGGTTAGCTAAAAGCTACCGTAGGCATGTTATTTGAATATATAATACAAAGGATTCGATAGGACAGGAAGGTATTTAGGAATTCGGGGGGTACGTTTAAGATACCATAGTGTCTAATTAAATGATGAAAAATGAATGGAGCAAAGATGTTTAGGATTGCCTCTGTGCTAATTATGTCCCACGTACGTCCGAATCGAAAGAAGCTACCTTCGCCCCGGAGGAACCAAAAGGACAATTCTTATTGCGGAAGTTGATGTTATGTCCGCCTGCGAAACAAGACAGAGGCCGCTCACGGGGTTNTGATTATCATACTTTTTTTGGTAAACGTACGGTAGGTGTATTACAGGAAAAAAATACTCGACAGTTTAATATAAAAGTAATAATTAGGAAATATAGTTAGTTAAAGTAATAACGAATAACTTGTAGATTTCTATGCAACATAATTGTACGAAAGTTGAATGCTTCTAATCTTTAAACTTGAATGCAAATTTCTAGAATTCTTAACGTAACAGTATTTTCGTAAGAGGAGTAATGGATACCATTTCATTGAAAATAATTTTTATTCGACTGAAAATATNTGATTATCATACTTTTTTTGGTAAACGTACGGTAGGTGTATTACAGGAAAAAAATACTCGACAGTTTAATATAAAAGTAATAATTAGGAAATATAGTTAGTTAAAGTAATAACGAATAACTTGTAGATTTCTATGCAACATAATTGTACGAAAGTTGAATGCTTCTAATCTTTAAACTTGAATGCAAATTTCTAGAATTCTTAACGTAACAGTATTTTCGTAAGAGGAGTAATGGATACCATTTCATTGAAAATAATTTTTATTCGACTGAAAATATAAACCTAGGTCTTAGAGTAATTATAAATTTTTACCACAAATCTTACGTTACATTAATGAAAAACGCCAAACAGTATAAAAGCTACGGGTCGTGTATAAAAACTACTACGTGAATTCATGCTAAATGAAACGAAAAGTGATGATCGTTTTTTTTTTAGCGCGCTTTAGCTACGACATACACTGGAATGGAAATAAAGGACACGCTATCCAGAATAATAAGGGTATTGGAAAACTGCAATTTTTTTTAAAAAAAAACACAAGAGTCAAAGCAATAATGTTTTTAAGAGTTTTATTTTATAATCCCATAAGTCTAAAGTAGTCTTTAAGATGTGTGTACGTGAATGGTCTTGCACAATACAATGGGAATAAATTATAATACTTTGGCTACGCTTGCGGGGTCAAAACCGTGTCTTTTTTTTTAATCATTTGTTTGAGCGAACTTCTGGGATACTTTTTTGAGTCAGCGGTCTCCCCCATTATTTAAAAAAAAAAAAAAAACACAGAAAGAAAAGAAAGAGCCATCTTTCTCCCTCAACGATTGGTAACGGTAAAAAATAGAAGTTATTTAATAAGACCTATCTCCGCCGGGAATGATGAATTATTGAAATACTTGACAACGAGTTGTCTTAAATATGCCACGGAGCAGAAGTAGCGGAATGCATACAATAGGGTACAATATTAATAGAAACTTTCGTACAGTCTGAATCCTCGATCAACGGATTCCGTCCTGTATCGAAAACGATGCTGCGAGAAATAATTTACGCAATGTTTTCTTTTTTTTTTTTAGCTCAAACTCGCGCGATTATAAATTGGCAAATACAGCGTTATACGCGAGAAAAACCAAAACACATAATTACTTTTATCGATCATAGAGAGTGTGGAAACATCGCGATGACATAAAAAACATGTTTTTCGTGAGGGTGGTTAGCTAAAAGCTACCGTAGGCATGTTATTTGAATATATAATACAAAGGATTCGATAGGACAGGAAGGTATTTAGGAATTCGGGGGGTACGTTTAAGATACCATAGTGTCTAATTAAATGATGAAAAATGAATGGAGCAAAGATGTTTAGGATTGCCTCTGTGCTAATTATGTCCCACGTACGTCCGAATCGAAAGAAGCTACCTTCGCCCCGGAGGAACCAAAAGGACAATTCTTATTGCGGAAGTTGATGTTATGTCCGCCTGCGAAACAAGACAGAGGCCGCTCACGGGGTTCGGGGAATGATAGTATGCAAGAGGAATTATCAAAGATGCGCTTAGAAGCACTTCCTGTGAACGATGGATGGTCCGGACTCGTCATACTCTTGTTTGGAAATCCACATCTGCTGGAAGGTGGACAGCGATGCAAGAATCGACCCGCCAATCCATACGGAATATTTCCTCTCGGGCGGGGCAATGATCTTGATCTTCATAGTTGATGGAGCTAGGGCAGTGATTTCTTTCTGCATTCTGTCAGCGATACCAGGATACATGGTAGTGCCACCGGATAGGACAGTGTTGGCGTAAAGATCTTTACGGATGTCGACATCGCACTTCATGATGGAGTTGTACGTGGTTTCATGGATACCGCAGGCTTCCATACCCAGGAAGGATGGCTGGAAGAGAGCCTCCGGACAACGGAATCTCTCGTTACCGATGGTAATCACCTGGCCATCGGGAAGTTCGTAACTCTTCTCCAGGCTGGAGGATGACGCAGCGGTGGCCATCTCTTGTTCGAAGTCGAGGGCGACATAGCAGAGCTTCTCCTTGATGTCACGGACAATTTCACGCTCAGCCGTGGTGGTGAACGAGTATCCCCTCTCCGTAAGGATCTTCATGAGGTAGTCAGTCAAATCACGACCGGCTAAGTCCAGACGCAGGATGGCGTGGGGCAAAGCGTATCCTTCGTAGATGGGAACAGTGTGCGAAACACCGTCACCAGAGTCCAATACAATACCGGTGGTACGACCGGAAGCGTACAGCGACAGAACAGCCTGAATGGCGACGTACATCGCCGGTGTGTTGAATGTCTCGAACATAATTTGTGTCATCTTCTCGCGATTAGCCTTGGGATTCAGGGGAGCTTCCGTAAGGAGCACCGGATGTTCTTCGGGGGCTACTCGAAGTTCGTTGTAGAAGGTATGATGCCAGATCTTCTCCATATCATCCCAGTTGGTAACAATACCGTGCTCGATAGGGTATTTCAGAGTCAGAATACCTCTTTTCGATTGGGCCTCGTCGCCAACGTAGGAATCCTTCTGCCCCATACCAACCATGACACCCTGGTGGCGTGGTCTACCGACGATGGATGGGAAGACGGCGCGGGGAGCATCGTCTCCCGCGAAACCGGCCTTGCACATACCGGATCCATTGTCAACTACGAGTGCAGCAACTTCTTCGTCACACATGTTTGGTTTGTTAGTTTATCTGCAAGAAAAACAATCATTTCAAATACTATTCCAGTAATAATTTCAAATTTCATTGAATTTTCTAGAATTAAATTTAAGCAGTTTTCCAAAATATAATGTTAACCGTTCAAATTACAACTAAGCATTTTTTTTTTATTCTAGTTACGAGAGTATTCTGTGATCGCATATTCGAAATACATTTAATTTTATTTTATTACGAGAATCCTTCCATTATATACTATTATTTATGACTTAAATCATTTTAAGACTTGCGCTCCAAAATCATATATATCGTAATCATTTCATCATTAGCATTTGGTTAAATGTGAAAATTCAATTTCGACATTACAGAGAATTGGAAAAATAGTTGCGCGAGTAAAGTGGCATATTCGATGAATGATGCCATGTGCCGTAAATCAACATTTTGTACATTTTCAAAATGGCGTCAGGCGACACGTAGCAACATACTGTTACGTTCAGGTGGCAAGGGTTTTCTAATGTAAAATATATAATTTATTTGAAAAATTTTAAACAAATAAAATCTTCGATATAGCTTTCAGGAATAAATACGAATATTTCTTACGAAAGGAAAGAATGCAAGAGTATTAAATCGTTCCGCAAAATCGCCGTTACTGGAACCGCACCCTGCCCCGCCCATCCCCGGCGTTGAACGGTCAATATCCGACATACGCTTCCGAAGGGCAATATTCGATGAAATTTCGAGATTTAGCGTTCAACGCGTACGGAAATAGATTTTTAGATCGACCAGTAACATTGAAACTTCGGACTTCTATTCAAACGGAAAATATTACATTCGTGCAATCTATTCGATCGCTATGTTCTTCGTATTATTGAAACCGATATTTTCCCCATGGAAACAATTTGTTTCCCCTTATACTGAGAAATAGCGCGGCACAGGCGCTGATTCTCTCTACAACGAGAATCGGGGCACAGTTCGAGACTGCAACACAGAACACAGTAAATACGGCACAACAAGTGTAGATATCTCGAGCCTAACACCAGCCACTTCTCTATTTAGAAATCCACGCTCTCGTAACATAGAAGCGATTTTGCCGATTTAAATTCTTCATTTCATTCACTATTTTATCTCGAATCCGTTGCACTGGCCGAGAGAAATTTCGGAACAATGAACGGAATATCACTGAACTTAGGATGACGACGATGATGTTCTATAACTTACGTTTTCTTTCGTTTAGTATAAAAAAAATGTTATGTACAAGTATAAGGGGAGCTTCGGGTCTTCGGACGTGACACTACCGCACAACCGACCGATCTAGCACCGAACACAGAGTGTAGCTGACAGCCGGCCTGCAGTGTATTATATGAACGGAGTCGTTGTTCAGGGCCCCCACCACTCGACGATCGGCCAATAAGGACAGGACACCCTCGGCCAATCCTGGCTTTCTTTACCATATATGGAAGTGCCCTGTTACGGAGGGGTCCCCCCTCCCCTGCCCCGGCGCATTGCCGCTTGACTCCCACGCCCTCTGCCGACCGTTCGAGTTCGAAGTATGTCTCACCACCCTTCGGCGGATTCATCCACCGAATTGACTGGAATCGCACACATCTTTTACCCATGCTCTCTGGTCCCTCCCATTCGTACAGAAAGTTCTGTGTCCCGATCGCATTCAATGTCAACCGATCTTTTTTTCTCTCATTCGAATAATAAATACTCGTTTCCGGTACGCGAGAATGCATTCCTTCTAGGAATCTTCTCGCGAACTAGATCTATATAAGTCGCCTCGGCGTTCGGCACGTATATCTTTGAACGTTATTTTTTTTTACGTGAATTTCAATTCGATATAGCGATAACAAAAAGAAAAAGTTTATGCTCGGATTCAATTTTATTTATATCGGAGCAACTTATTCGACGCCAATGAATTAATCGTACCGATCTTTCGACTTTTATTAATGTAAAACATTATCTTAATATGTAACGTAACTGTCAAATTTGAAGAATTGATTTCTCGAGTCGATTCGAATAGAATAATAAAAAGAAATACGCAGAGCAGCGATTTCGATTCAGCGTTCGAATGTCCGAATAACCGACACGTTCATAGCATTCCCCGCGGTCTAAGCGAGTATAATCTTAGGTTAGTGCCGAAACACGCTTCGGTGTACGGCTATTAATAAACGACGGCATCACGACGACCACCTGTCTTGTGAGCGGCTGTACACGTCAGGAACCACTTGACAACGACAACTTGTCGGATCGTTCGGTGTACGTACGCCGTTTCAAAGTAATCCTTGGAGAACGCGAACTTTTTTTTTCATCGTCGCGCGAACAAAATGCTACTATACGTCGACAAGATGATTCGAAGGCGCAGAGAGCAACGCCCTGCCATCATGGCTGCTCGTATAAACCGGCATTTGTTCTCGATCATTTTTCGCCGTGAAAAATTCTGACAGATCGCCGGGAAAACCGTCGAATCGTTAACGAAGCCGAACGAAATAGATTATATTGTGCAAATACCCACCTTTTGGAACGGAAAGCGACCGCTGAAATAGTCGATTGATGATCGGCGAAGGGACACACCGCAAGGATACTATCGGCACGACCAAGCGAGACTCGACAGCCGCGAGTTGCAAGCACTGTGAGCGAGATCGTGGCCGGTACCGTGTTATGTGGACTTGCCCGAAGGTGTGGTTCGCATAGACGTTGTTCGGGTTCCGAACGGTCCCAGCTATTTCCTGTATTTTCATCGTGTTTTTCGAATCGCTCTATAAAACACGATTCGTCGAACGACCAGCGCTCGGAACATCGGACATTCGACGATCGTTCGTTTATTTTAATCGCAATAATCGGATAATATTGTTTCGCTTGGACACCCCTATCGCCGAATGGATCCGTCCAGCCGGCTTTCCCCACCACTCGGATTCACAGCTCTTGCCATATATGGGCATAAAACGAAAGCGGCTCGCTGATTGGTCCGCCGGCCGGCTGCCGGCTAGATTCTCCAAATGCCGCTTCAAACTGTACGATACGGGGAGCATAATGCCTTCTGGAAGCGTACACTAGCGTAAGGGCTTTCCTGACTAACCGTCGGAGCTGCGTGTAGAGTAGTGTGAGTAGAAATGTATGCGAAGAGATTACAAGCATTCTCTGCGCGTGTTCGCGTGCGAACCAGTACCGGCAGTAGGTATGAATCAGAAAAGTTTTGTTCCACGCTTTAAAGTGATCAGCATTTTCTTTTGCCTAATGAAAGCCGTGCGTAACACTTCTTACAGATGTGCATGTATCTTAAATGCACTCTTAGAAATCTCCCTCTGAATTCTTGTACAAATATATGTCGATCCCCGTGCAAATCGAAGATTTACACGCGTATTTATGGGAAACGTTGTTACCGAAAATTTTATTAGCTTTAAAAATGCTTTAAAAAAAGTAAAACATTTTGTATCCGGTGCTTTATGATTCACGAATTTGTTGGTAAAAGTTTATATTTAATTCTATAATTACCAGTCGACATTTCTTTTAGATTTTGTTATTGCCACAATAAGATGATTAAGATGCTATTACGAACAATTATTAAGAATATAATAAATATAATAATATATATAATATAATATATAATATATTATATTATAATATAATATAATAATAAATTAAGAGTATAACAATTTATCGCTTGAACAATTGCTATCTACACTGTGCTCGCAATCTTTAGGATTCCTTGAAATAAATTCTATCAGGTAGTTATACGTGTATCAAGTAGCTACGTGTGTGTGTGTCGTACCATTAAATGCGATGAGTATTGCTGAAATCATTCCAGGAATTTCGTCTGCCTATCTTTCAGGTATACGCCGTTAGGTCGGTGTATTTGAAGAGAGTGGACTCAAAGTAAATGGTAGATTAATGAACTCTAACCTCGTATTTGCTCGCATATTTCTTGAAAAAGACAAACATTCTAAGATATTAATTAAAATATTAAATATTTCGAATTTGTACAAATTAGAGTTCTATAATTATCCTTGTCGAGTACAACTGATATTGTGGGGCGCTACTAAATATTGCTATACTATTTTTCAACATAACTGTAACAGTATCAGAGTCGTTCTATATCTAAAAGACTGTTAAAATAGTAAGTTTTGTACTTGCCAATAAGCTTACCATATGCATAAATCGCAATAAATCCTATAAAACAGAAAGAGAGAATATGTTTAAAATATATAATAATATAATAATAATATAATAATAATATAACAATATAATATAATTAAAATTAATATTAATATATTAAAATTTGTTGCGAGCAGACTCGAAAAGTCAATGGATCAGGTCTGATTGCCTAACGTTCGTTCAGTTCATCGGGACGAAACGAACGAATTTTTCCAAAAGCGAAGGAACGATTAACGTCGACGACCGAGACCAAGTCGTCGCGCATCTTCCCGCTTAATATGTGTTGTGTGCCGTCTCGGCCGGCTTTTTCATGAAACAATAGCTAAAAATAGACTCAAGGACGCGGATAAGGGTGCACTGGACTAGTCCATGTCACATAAGCCCAACGCGATCGCAACGTTTAGTGTCGTGTCCATTAGGACACGGAAGTTGTCCGAGCTTTTGTGTGTGTGTGTGTGTGTGTGTGCATGCAAAGTCTGCTGTAAAATCGATAGGCGGCCTCATGTAGTCTACTACTATGGTAGGTCGGACTTATGACGAGAGACCACGTGGCGACGAGAACGTCGAAGTACAAACCGTCCAATGTGCAGTTAGTTCCTTTTGTATAATAATACTTTGGCTCTTAACCGTTGAACAATTATTACTTAATCATTTTCTCGAAGTTCCTTGAAATTTTATTTCTTTTTTTTTTAATGTAAATTGTTCGCGTTAACCAAAGGAATTATCGGACGTTTAAAAGAACATGACAGTTTCATAAACACGTGCGTCATGGCCTCTTTGACGAAACAGTGCTACGATGACACAACCACCGGAGTGAATCATAAGAAATAGCGGTCGAGTAGAAGAGCACTATAATTTCTGAAAACTCGTTGAAGCACTTATCAACTTTGACATTTTTTTATGCGTCGAATCTCGCTTGAAATGTTTTCTGTGAGCTGTATATTTAAGAAAACAAAAACTTCGCCAGTACGGCATGCAAATATACGCCAATGATTGAACGCATCGCATGCGTGATTCGCTTCGTCCATGTCTAACCTAACCTCAAACGTTCGAGTCGGTGGTCAGCTGTCACAAGCGTGTGATACTTTCGTGTGGTGCATGCACTTTAATTATCGCAGAACTGTTCGTTATTTCCGACTTCTTCTAACAAAGTACATAGATTCGCATACCAGCTTGTAAAAATTAATTAATTAATCGAATAATTAAGATAATGAAACGTTGTTCCGTCAGCAGGATAAAATGTGTGTTCCACATAAATATAAACCATTCGTTTTTTTCTTTTTTTACTGTAATCGATTAAATAGATGCAAAATTTTCTGTATATTTAAAGAATCTCAACAAATAGAAGTTTTAAAAATAATTTTCTATTATCTGTCGTAACGATCGATATTTCGGTACGCCTGCGGATAGAAATAAAGTTAACGCAGAAATTTATAATTATAAAATTGTCGAACATTTCATGATTGTCGATCGATTTGTTTGTTGATATTGGAGATACTGAGAACTGAAAGTAGGAAAATATAAGACTCTGTAAATCTAGAATATTTTATTTCAGTAACGATGGTAATAATTTGCTGGTTTTGCATGAAATTTTATGATTTCAGCTTCCATGTAATGTAAGAAAGCATAATTCTTCAAAATTTTCGTTTAATTTTACGCTGACAAGTCAATCAATGGTCATAGAATAAACAGAATTATTTATACTTTTCAATATGTAAAATTCAGTAGACACTTCATATAATGTTACAAGACGCAATAACACACACATCAACCTCTATTAACCGAATCATTATCGCACGGGGCGTCTGTTTATCTTCGATGAAGATCTCAACTTTTGTCGTGCTACCATACCATACTTTTTGCCATAATATTTCCTCGATAATTCTTTTGTGCTTGAAAATTTCTTAGTAGAAAAAGAAATTAATAAAATGCATATATTTATCTGCTCGAAATCTTTGTCATGATTTGTCGTTTCGATATTAAGAGGTTAACTGGCTTAAATATAACTTAAAAATATGTCGCATAACTTCCCAAATAGATCCAAAACGTCTGAAACCTCGAAAATGAGCAAAACCATCCGATTTCCAAGGGTTAATTGCCGCGACAGGACTACAATGGGAAAGAATTATGTCCAAGTAAGGTGTAAGGCGCGTTGTGGCCGGCCTGAAAACCCAATGGTCCGAGAAGCCTCG